GTAGCTTGATAGTGGTCTGAGATGCATGTATTTATGTAGTCATAATCTTGATTGCCAACTATGACTTTGCACTGATTTGTCAATTCTTGATTTTATTTCAAGATTTCTGTCACAATAATCCACAAGTAATCAATGTGACTCCAGTCCAATCAATTAAAATCTGTGTGTTTGTAATAAAAAATTATTAAGGCATTTTAACTTCAAACGAGTCAATATAATCAGGAGAAAAATATGCACAGATCAAGCACCATTTATAAGGGAAAGCAGTCCAAAACAGTTCTAAACAAATATGTCAGTGGATTTTGATGTAAGAGGACAACAGGGAATGGGCGTTTTCACTGGAAGAAGCATTATTATGGATTATGGACTCCTATTTTGGCCAGAAGTGACGGTTTAAAGTTAAAACGCCTTCATTTGTTCCTTACAAACATGCAGCTTTTCACTTCACAAGATGTTGATTGGCAGACAAGAGTCGTGTGGATTATTTTTGGATTATTGTGATGTTTTTTATCTGGCGGTTTGGACTCTCATTCTGATGGCACCCATTCACTACAGAGAATCCATTGGTGAACAAGAGATGTAATGCTAAATGTTTTTAAATCTGTTCTGATGAAGAAACAAACGCATCTATATCTTGGATGGCCTGAGGGTGAGTAAATTTTCAGCAAATTTTCATTTTTGGGAGAACTATTCCTTTAATATGATATTCAATGACTTCATGTATTTTCATCTTTATGCATCCATCACCTACTTTGTGCTTTTGAATTCATTGCTTGCATGTTTATTTTCCTCTGCGTTCGAAGTTCTGCCACTGTAATGACACACTAGGACTTTCTGTAGATAGAGGTGTATTTCTACTATAATCAGCTGAATTAAAGAAGTGATTTCATGATGAACCATTTATGAGACTTCTAAAACCAGAGCAATTATATTGGATTTTATAGATGTCTAGATTCTATAGATCTTTAGATCTCTTTTAATTTGTACATTGTCTTTTTTCTGTACTCACTGGTGGAAAAAAGCCAAATTAAGTCAATGATTTAATGCTGTGAAACATTATATCAGGAAAAATGGGTTATCATATATACCCATGGGATGTATACCCACCACACGTCTTGTTATCAGTCTGTCTCAGAGCCCATTTTTATTTGAAGGAACAGATGCATTAAAATGCAAGGAATGTCCTCAAGTCCTAATCAAAACAAATGCCGTATTAGCAGCAACGGTGAACTAAAGCCAGCACTGTTTTTTTTTAACCGTAAAAGGTGTTTGCCTTTTTTAAACCTTTCTTTCTTTTCTGATACCAAATGCAGACTTTGTGCAGAAACGTTAGAGCATTCTTGTTGTCTTGTCCACAGTAAAATGCAAGAGTGCACCGTATATGAAAAAGCACCAGAAGTGGTAAACTTACAAGACTACCAGTTTTTTATTTCCTTTTATAAAATAATTGTGACAAAAGGGGCGGGACTCGAGACCGGTGAGTGGCGCAGGTGTCCCACGGCTCTCGGCCCCGCCCCTCTTGTCACAATAATATTCCATATAAATGTGATTTAATAAACAGACAGTAGCTTGTGAGATGTGTTGAAATGTATAGGTATGTGAAACACACTAGCAATGATCTCAGCTGTGGATAGAGGCTTTAATCAGTTGTTGAACTCCAAGAATAATGTCAGGTCTGTTCCTGTGGATAAGGAAATACTGTTCTACATCTCCCTTTAAATGTTCACACACTTAAACAAACACACAAATGCTTACATAGGAACTGCGTCTGCTCTAAATTCCTTACAGGACGTGTGTGGAGTGGGGTGAATTCATGCAGACCATTTCAATTTGTGAAATCTATCCTTCAAAGGGTATGGTGGGTGGTGCGTAGTGTAGAACGGCGATCCAGTTTTAGAATTTCAGGAATTCTGTTTGCATTAGGATGGGGGAAAATCTTATGGAAAAATCTATGGTTAATAATGAGTATTTTAATTATTTATTTTATGATTAATATTTAACTGTGGATTGTTTGGAATTGCATTTAGGCCTACATGATTTTTTGTTCTGAAAATCATCACAAATAATAAAATATTTAGCCTACAAATACAATCATTAGGATTCTCTGCAGGCCTGTTGGATGCAGTCAAACAAGCTAATCATATGCTTTGCATCTTCTAAAGGATGTACATGTTTTTTGTGTACAATATTTAAATGAGTCAATGACATACCAGTAAATCTCTGTGTGATGCACAAAACAGTGACAATTAGCAGATGAAATGAGGCATGCAGCAGCTTTAAGTGAGGGGTATAAATGGACACTATTGAGAGAGAGCTGGCGTCCTTCTCCTCAGCTCTGGGACTTACACTGTGCTCTAGAAACCATGGCGTACAATGCACTGTTCAGTTCCAGCAGGAAAATAAATATGTTCTTCGCTGTCCAAAATTACTATGTGAAGGCACTTCCTGTGAAAGAAAGCACTGAGTGCAAAACTTCTTGGGTCAGATTATGTTAGATATAGCAGTAGCAAAAACTCTACAAAACTAATATGGTCATTCGTCTATGTCAGGTTCAAACTCGCTCTATAGTCAAATGTATAAAAAATAATCAATTTTGTGGAGTCAGTAAGACGTATAACTGCACCAGTTAAATTCAAAGGTCCATAATGTCTTTTTAGATTGCAGGTGAGGCAGCACTTTACCTCTCCTCATTCTTCTCTGTAGGTAGTAGGGAAAACAGTTCAGTGCCACCACACAGAATGACAGAAAGCACCTGGAGTGACAACTGCCCTGAGGAATTCTGTTTCCTCACACAGGCTTGCGAAGAAGCTTTTTTATCTCCCCAGAGACCTGAGTTTTCTCTTCCTCTATAGAAACAAGATTGTCAGTGAGGAGAACGCCTGACGTCTTTCAATAGTTTGGCCTTTTTGATGAAAAGAGCCCTTCAGGACAGCGAAATGTCCACAGGTCCCTGAAGGCTTCACTTGGAACTGTACGTGTTGTCAACGTCAATCACCAAACGTCAGCTTGATTGCTTAAAATCTGATGAATAGGCTGTCCCTTTTCTACTCAAACTCTTCTGAAGCACTACTGTATAACTTCTGTGTGATAATGATTTAATTTAATATAATTTCAATTTGTTTTAAACGTTTGGTTAAAAGTTTTTAATTTAAACTCATTGCTTTCTGGAAGTAAGAAGATATATTTAGTATTTTGAGGGGGCTTTAAGGTATTGTGTCTCTTTAAAGGTGTCAGGGGACACAGGTTAACCTGAGCAGGTTAACAAACCAGGGCAAATTTCAAACATACCTTTGCATCTCATTTCATACACACAAACTGCAGAATAAAAGCAAAGAGGACAAAGCTCTCACACAAACTCACAGTGGGAACCTCCTCTTTGAAGTCCATTCCAAGCAGTTCAGTTACAGTTTTTAATCACCATCCAAAAGAAACAGAGAATGTCCCTCCCATCTAAACCTAAACTGAGTTTAAACGGCACTCATGACTGGTTCTCTCTGTATCTCTGCAGTGTAATCGGTATGTTAATGATGGCGAGATGGATAGTCTAAGAGAAGGTGAGATTTAAGGAACGTTTTCATATTAGCATGATTTACATCATCACAAATTAAACACCTTCAGGAATAAATGGAAATCAGATCTTAAATGTCATGCTGCAGCTTTTTTCCTAAACTTTGACACCAAGCACACAGCGTTCTTTATTGGGTACTCCGTGTTCTTATGTCTTGTGAGACATTGCAAGGTTCTCAAATAGTGACTCTATTCAATGGGATACGTTGTCATGTTCCTCAGAGAGGAACGTTTGAGAGGAACAACAGGGTGGGCCAGGCTGCTGAATGAAGCCTTGTGTTTCTGCTTTCCACCTGTGTTAATGTTGCTGCTCCAGAAGACTAATTAATATGATGGATGTTTGTGACCAAGTGGCACAATATTTGAAAACAGCACTTGGGATTTTGGGAAATTGAGAAAATAAGAAACAAATCTTGAAATAAATCACTGATGTAGTATGAAATGTGTAGCATACACAGGGCTGGTTGTCACACTTTACTTCTGTGAATATTCTAGGCTGGAATAACGACATTGTAATAGCCCAGGACAAAATGAATAACATTAAACAGCATATCTGTCGCTTAAAGGAATAGTTCACCCAAGAAGGAAAATGTGCCAAACATTTACTCACCCTCAGGCCATCCAAGATGTAAATGAGTTTGTTTCTTCATCAGAACAGATTTGGACAAATTTAGCATTACATCACTTACTCACCAATGGATCCACTGCAGTGAATGGGTGCCGTCAGAATGAGAGTCCAAACAGTTGATAAAAACATCACAATAATCCACAAGTAGTCCACATGACTCAAGTCCATCAGTTAACCTGTGAAGTGAAAAGCTAATATGTACCAGGGGTGAATAAGGTATAAAGATGTACCTTTTAGCTTTTGTAACTTCATAATATGTAATTGAACTTGAGTTGTTACACTAATGCCAGTGTCGTTTTATTAATTGCAGTGAAATTCACAGCTACAGTGCATAGCAAAAATGTGATGAAATTAGTTTTAATTTGAAGGACAAAATTCTTAGAAATTATTCTAATTTAATTGGGTTTTGATTAAGGTGTTATGCAAAAGGGAATATAGCATCATGTAAAAAATATTAGCAAAAAAAGGCCGTCTGTGTTTCGTCCGATGATGTATTATGGCTCAAAACGGATCAAGAGGACTGTCGACATAAATATCGTCAGGATTTGCGCATGTTAGCCACAAAAGTCTCGGAGGCTCTGTGTATGGCCAAATTACATCATACGTGGAAATGTTATGAACTCCTTTACTCCACCTCTCGTTCCCTAGCCCCCCTTTCAGCTCCTGTTCAGTTAAAGTATTTCCCTTGTGAGGAGAGTTTCTTTCTGCTTCTCATTCTCCTGCCAGAAGCGCTTCTGAACTTTACTGCACACGCGACACTTTTATTAGCGGTTTGGATTGAGAGACGCGCGTGCCATCAGAGAGCTGAAACGCATCTGCAATCAAGGACTATAAGAGTTTCAGAGGGACACTGCATCATACAGGTTTACAGTTTGGCTTTATGTTGTGGTTGCGCTGGCTGTACAGGTGAGCACTGTCACAGCATCTCTGGCTTAATTAGATTAATCCAAATGTTCAGAGTAGATTTCATTGTTAAAGTATTGTGAAAAGCCTGTCAGTTAGTGTGACAAATGGATCAAAACGCATCATTTGGTGTTAAAGAAGTGTGTTATAATAACCCCTACAAATACAACTCATTATATACACTATAAACACTTTAAAGGAGATAGACATGCAGATGTTTGTGAAAGATGTTTTCTCTGTTTTGGAGGGATGATTATTTTTAAATCATACCCTATTTATTGCATCAAAATTTGTTAATAGCTACTTTACTATATTTAAGGGTGGATAATTTTATCAGTTGTTTATTGCAACAATATTGCAAATACATAACTACAATAACTTTGTCTAGTGCTCGTATTAACGTTTATAGCATGATTTGTGAAAATGTAACTGTACTGAATGACATAGCATAGACTTTTTCATGGCTAGTTTTTGCGTAGGCTATTTAATTTAATTCTGTTACCTACTTGTTCTACAGATCTGTGTGTACTAGTGTTAAATGCTACTGTTTTTGACAGCATTGATAACGTTTATGACAGATAATCATGATCATTTTTTGCGTTTCCCTTACCGAATGTCATATCCTGTATCATTCGATCATTCGTTTTTTGATTTAATATTGAAAGTAGAAAAATTTGAATACGGCTCCTTTTTCGTTTTTTTGTTGTTTTTTTTCCAACAAACGAAAAACGAAAATTCAGCTTAAATTTTCGTTTTTCGTTCATGGGTGGAAAAATGAATAAACAGCTTGAATATTCGATTTCTACATGTGGGCGGGAATTAAACGCCCCTTTCTACTGCTTGGTCAGCCGAAGATCAAACCGTGCCGTCATCAGTTCTTCTGCAGTATCACGCAGCAGAATAATAGTCCTCCACTGCTGCAGTTGTACGGATTAATAACCCATTTTATCAATTTCATATTTAGTTTCACAAGAACACACACAGCTTTCAATGTTTCACATTTGAGCAGTGGTCATTATTTTCTTCTGTCTTTTATCTTTCTATGTTCTACCCTCTAAATCTTGAATGATTTCCATTTAAGCTTCAACTGGGGGAAAAAAAAAATTTAAGACCAGCACATAAGCCATTAAGCCTTTTTCCCATGAAACCAACTTTGGCAGCTGATTTTATCTTATCTGTCTTTTTCCTTTGTGCATTCTCTAAACACAGTCCAGAGCACTTTAACAAAAGCACTGCACACATTTTACAAACAGCTTAATTGTTTTTCTGTGCTTTATATAAAATGACATAATATTTCTATAGCTTCAACATAATTTGTTTTACTATAGTAATTTGAGGGACCTCATACATTAAAAATGGACTGTTTAAAGGTCACAGAGTGTATGCATCATGTATGCACACTTTCTCAGATATTTTTATGTTGATTGCTTTATAAAATTAGATTTGGATTGGACTAGAAGGAGAGGACAAACTCGATATGGAATAGTGTATAAAAAGCTCTAGTTTAACTAACTATGAATAAGTGGCTCTCTGCTCTAGCAGTACTGTATGTGTAGATAAGTCTATGTATAGGAATGCTCTGCAGCAAATCAAATAAATATAGCGTCACTCTTAAAAGCAGCCAACACTGGCAAAACAATTTTAAGATCTTTTCCCCAAAAACTCTGTGAACTAGAAGAACAGCATATCTCTCTTTACCCATGCATGGCAGACATTTAGTAATTAACGGTAAGTTAATTCCCAAACCACCCGGTACAAATATGACCAGCTTGTTCTGGCATGAGAACTGTACTGTTCCTGTGGTAATTTTGGGAACTGAAAATTAAATGTTGGGTTTTCTCTCTCAAAAACCTCTTATTTTACCAAACCTTTGTTATGAACTTAGAAATTCACATTTGGTCCATTTGATACAGTACAGGTGCATCTCAATAAATTAGAATGTCGTGGAAAAGTTAATTTATTTCAGTAATTCAACTCAAATTGTGAAACTCGTGTATTAAATAAATTCAATGCACACAGACTGAAGTAGTTTAAGTCTTTGGTTCTTTTAATTGTGATGATTTTGGCTCACATTTAACAAAAACCCACCAATTCACTATCTCAACAAATTAGAATATGGTGACATGCCAATCAGCTAATCAACTCAAAACACCTGCAAAGGTTTCCTGAGCCTTCAAAATG